GCCAGTATCTGTTATTTTTTGGCTTTTTAGTAATAGTTATTCTAACCGGTGTGAGATGGTATTTAATTGTAGTTTTAATTTGCATTTCTCTAATGATCAGTGATGTAAATTTTTTAATGTTGATTTTGTATACTGAAACTTTACTAGTTGCAGAATGTTGTTAATTTAAACATTACATTTTTTAAATGTTGGTTTTGTATACTTCAACTTTACTAGTTGCAGAATGTTGTTAAATTTAAACATTGTATTTTTTTTAGAGACAGAATCTCCCACTGTCACCTACGCTGTAGTGCAGTGGTGGGATTTTGGCTCACTGCAATCTCCACCTCCTGGGTTCAAGCAATTCTCCTGCCTCAGCCTCCCAAGTAGCTGGGACTACAGGCATGCACCACCACACCCAGCTAATTTTTTTGCATTTTTAGTAGAGGCGGGGTTTCACCATGTTGGCCAGGGTGGTCTTGATCTCATGACCTCGTGATCTGCCCACCTTGGCCTCCTCGGTCTCCCAAAGTGCTGGGATTAGAGGCCTGAGCCACTGCGCCAGGCCTTATATGTTTTTTTATGTTGATTTTGCATACTTCAACTTTACTAACTGCAGCTTTACTAGTTCTAATAGTTTTTTGTGGCGCTCTTAGGATTTTCTACACATAGGATCATGTCATCTGCAAACAGGAATAGTTTTACTACTTCCTTTCTGATTTAGATGTCTTTTATTCTTTTTCTTAACAAATTGCTCTGGTGAGGACTTCAAGTACTATGTTGAATATATGTGGCAATGGTTGGGATCCTTGCTTTATGCCAGATCTTAGAGGAAAAGTGTTCAGCTTTTTTCCCATTGATTATACTGTTAGCTGTGGACTTTTCATAAATAACTTTTATTGTGTGAGGAAATTTCCTTCTATACCTATTTTGTTGAGAGTTTTTATCATGAAAGGACGTTGAATTTTGTCAAATGCTTTTTCTGCATCAATTGAGGTAGTTGTGATTTTCATCTTTTATTTTGTTAATGTGGTGTATGACAGTGATTGATTTTTGTATGTAAAACCAGTCTAGCATTCTGGAAATAAATCTCCCTATGTCATAATGTAGAATGCTCTTGATATGTTGTTGAATTCAGTTTGCTGATATTTAATTGAGGAGTTTTACACCTATGCTCATCAAAGGTACTGGTCTATAGTCTACTTTTCTTGTGGTATCTTTATTTGGTTTGGTGTCAGGATGATGCTGGCTTCATGAAATGAGTTATAAACATTCATTTTACTTCTATTTTTTGAAGGGTTTGAAAAGAGTTAGTATTAATTTTTCTTTGAATGTTTGGTAGAATACAGTGATGAAACTATCTGGTTTTTGGCTTTTATTTGTTGGGATGACATTGATTACTATTTCAATCTCCTTATTAGTTATTAATCTGTTCATGATTTCTAATTCTTTTTTATTCAGTCTTGATAGGTTGTATATTTCCACAGACATATCCGTTTCCACTTATACAATATATTGGCATATAATTGTTCATAACAGTCCCTTGTGATCTTTTAAAATTTTATTACTGAGGCTTCCATTGTAATGTCTCTTCTTTCTTTTCTGATTTTATTAACATAACCCAAGAGGTGACAGATTTGTTGTCTTAGTCCTTTTGTGCTGCTGTAACAAAATACTTGAGACTTAGTAATTTATAAATAATCAAAAGCCTCAGGCACACTACTCTAATTGGTGAAAGCTGTGGCATGGGCTGTACCAAGGAAAGATTTGTTTCATGGGGATATCTATTCTTCCAAGGTCAAGGAACTGGCTGGTTCAGTATCTAGGGAGGGCCTTTTTCATTGATCGTGTCTTCTCACATTGGCACTCTCACATGGTGGAAGATGGAAGCGTAAGAGAGGTGAACACTCTCTGGAGCTGCTTTTATATGAGCATTAATCTATTTATCAATAGAGATTCAGTTTCAACGTGAATTTTGGAGAGAATATTTACATTTCAGCATCTATATACTGAAAATTATAAGACATTAAGGAAAAAAATTGAAGAAGACACAAATAAATGGAAAGATATCCTGTGTTCATAGATTGAAAGAATTAATATTTTTAAAATGTTTGCACTATTCAAAGCAATATATAAATTCAATGTGGTCTTTATCAAATTTCAATGGCATTTTTCATAGAGATGGAAAAAACAATTCATATAGAACCATAAAAGATCCTGAACATTCTAAATTTCATATAGAACCACAAATGATCCTGAATAGCCAAGGCAATCTTGAGAAAGAAGTTCAAAGTTGGAAGCACCATAATTCCAGATTTCAAGCTATGTTACTGTATATATAGTAACCAAAATGGTTTCATACTGGCCTAAAAACAGACATGTAAACCAATGGAACAGGATTGAAAGCCAAGAAATAAGCCCAGGAATATATAGTCAACTAATTTTCAATAAGACCACCAAGAATATACAATGGGAAAAAGATAGTCTCTTCAGTAAATGGTGCTGGGAAAACTGGATAGTCACATGCAAAATAATAAAAATTGACATTTATCTTATGCCATACACAAAAAATCAACTCCAAATGGATTCAAGATCTATATGTAAGACTTGAAACCATAAAACTCTAGAAAAAAACATAGGAGAAAGACTTCTTGACATTGACTTTGGAATGTTATTTTGGTTATCATACAGGCAACAAAAGCAAAAATAAACAAATGGAAGTATATCAAACTGAAAAGCTTTGCACAGCAAAAGAAACAGTCAACACAATGCAAAGGCAACCTACAGATTGGGAGAAAATATTTGTAAACTACATTTCTGTTAAGGTATTAACACCCAAAATACATAAGGAACTTAAACAACTCAACAGCAGAAAGCCAAATACTCTGATTAAAACATGGGTAAAGGACCTGAATAGAAATTTTTCCAAAGAAGACATAAAAATGGCCAACAGATTAGCAAGGTACTCAGCCTTGCTAATCATCAGGGAAATGTAAGTCAAAACTATGGTGAGATATCCCTTACACCTCTTAGGACTATTATAAAAAGATGAAAGATAGCAAGTGTTAAGGAGGATGTGAGCACAAGGAACACTAGTAGACTGTTGGTGGGAATGTAAATTGGTACAACCAATTTGGAAAACAGTGTGTAGATTCTTCAAAAAATTAAAAATAGAACTACTACATGATCCAGCAATCCCTCTTCTAGGCATATATCCAAAGGAAATAGAATCAGTACCTTGAAAAGTTATCTATGCTTCCATGTTCATTGCAGCTTTAGTCACAATGGCCAAGATTTGAACCTAACCTAAGTGTCCATTGACAGATGAATGGATAAAGAAATTGTAGTGTGTATATATGTATACACAATGTAATATTATTCAGCCTTAAAAAAGAAGGAGATTCTGCCATTTTCAACAACATAGATGAATCTGGGAGACATTCTGCTAAATGAAATAAGCCAGAGAGAGAAAAAATAATGCATGACCTAATTTATATGTTGACTCTAAAACAGTTTAGTACATAGAAGCAGAGAAAGAACGATGGTTACTAGGGAACTGGGGGTAGGGAAAATGGGGAGATGTTGGTCAAAGGGTTCAAATATACAGTTCTATGATGAATAAGTACTGGAGACCTAATGTACACCATGGTGACTATAGTTAATAATAATGTATCATACACTTGAAATTTGCTAAAAGAGTAGGTCTTAAGTTTTCTCACTACACATACAAAAAAGTAATTATATGAGGTAATGGATATATTACTTGTTTGTGATAATCATTTCACAATGTATATGTATCAAAACATCAGTGTACACCTTGAATATATGCCATTTTTAAATTTGCCAATTATGCCTGCCTCAATAAAGCTTAGAATATGGAAAGTATATTCATTTCACAGGGTTGTTAGAGTTGAGATAATATCTACAAAGCACTTAATACAAGGCCAGCCATATGTAATAAGTGCTTAATGAATGAAAAGTAATTCCAAACCAAACAAACTGAGGGGTAAGTTTTATAAGTAGAGGAAAGTTAATTGAAGTATCCTTCTTTCTTTCATGTACCAGAGACACTTGCACTTAACAATTGTACAAAAATAATTTCTATGGCTGTCTCCCCTCTTCAGACTGTGAGATTTTCAGGATGGGAGAATGTCTTTATTGTTATGTACTCATACCTAGGATCATTGCTGACACATAATACATAATCAATATTTGATGCAGTGAGCTGAACTGAAATTGACCACCATTATCTGTTTTTCTCTGCATGCTACTGTATTGTGGGAAAATAGCTGAACAAATATTCCCTAACTGTGGAGTATGTTTGTGCTTTTCTGACTTAAAATAGGAAGTATTTGATATACTTAACATTCAACTGCTGAGAGAGGGCTCTGGGCAATACCTCAAAGGGAGAAATGTCATCTGAACCTGAGAGCAGGACAACAGGACTGCTTTGAGGACAGATATGTTATGTATTAAGATGCTCTGGACTGAGAAAGCAAAAAAGGTGTAGAATATGAATTAAATGGAAATTGAAAGGACAAATCATAAGGACTCTGCTTCACTGATGTACAATCAAGCTGTTTCTCACACAGGCAAGTTCTGCCGGAGACTCTGACTGGGGTGAGTGCCAGCAAGGAGTTCCTTTCTTTCATTCAGGTGTGGTAGGTGCTAAAGTTACAAAGGTGAATCTCAGCTTCTACCCCTTTGAGCTAGTCTAGGGTGACAATGAGGATGTGCACTTCCCTTGCAATGTTCTACCTAATTTTCACCAAAATAATCCTTAAAGTTTATAGGTTTCTTTAAAATTTTTTTTACCCCTTTTCTTCTTGCCCTGAGCATCATTGTGCTTCTGTCATAGCCAAAGTTTCCCTCTTGCCCCCTGTGTTGTCGCCATAGTTCTGGCTCAACTTCCACATTGACAAATTCCTCATAAATTATTATAATGGTCATTTCAGACTGGAGGGGGCTACTGGTGAATTTAATTTCATTTATTTGGGCTTTTCCTCATTTTATTTTTTAGTTAAAAAATGTAATGCTTCACAAATTTGCATATCATCTATGCACAGGGGCTACGCTAATCTTCTCTGTACCGTTACAATTTTAGTATATGTGCTGCTGAAGCAGGCACTTCTTTGGGTTTCTCTATCACCTCCAAGTGGGCATTACTCTTGCAATTAGTTAAAGAAGGTATTGAGAAAAAGAGAAAGTCATCAACTTGCCCTGTAAAGTCCTAATTATCTTCCTTTAAACATTTAAACTCATATAATCGTATTAACATTTTAACACAGAAAATCTACACCCCCCTTTACCTCCCGCCTTCTGGGACATTAAAGTGCTACACTCCACAGTTTTTTTGGAACTGGCATTGTTCCAGAGAGTATAGGATCGGGGAGTTACCTAAGGCTTGGCATGATTTACGCTGAGTGAGATCATTGCTCCATCTGAGGGTTTTTCACAGTCCAGAATGTTGAGAGATGCAGGACTCACTCCAAATGCCACATGAATCTGTGGCAATTCTGTGATTGTGACCCATTAATCACATATCCCAAGAGGGGCTGTTAGATATGTTTTAAGAAGCCAGTTGGTATCAATTAATATTACTATTTTCTTGTCAGCTTGCTTTTGACACTTCATGAAATTATACATTAGCTAGTTAGCTCTCTTCTCAATTATCTTTACTATGTTTGCACTAATTTAATTTGGAATTGTTACAACGGTTGCCACAATTTTCAGTGTGGCAAAATCTTATTCATTAAATCCAGGCATCTATATAAAGTTCAAGATGACAGAATATTAGAAGTGTGTTTAACTGTGTTTAATAGGCTTCCTATGTTCAGCAGATACTGAGTATAGCAGTTTCCTCTTTTCCAAGGGGATACATTTCAAGACCCCCAGTGAATGCCTAAAATCATGGATAGTACCAAATCTCATATATACCATGGTTTCTTCTATACATACATAGCTATGATAAAGTTTGATTTATAAATTAGGCACCTTGGGAGATTAACAATAGCTAAGAATAAAATAGAGCAATTATAACAATATGCCACTACCACTACTCTTGTGCTTGGGGGCCATTATTAATTAAAATAAGGGTTATGTGAACACAAGCACTCAGATACTGCAATAGTCGATCTGATAACAGAGACAGCTGCTGAGTGCCTAGCGGGTGGGTGGCCTACAGCATGGACACACTGGACAAAGGGATGACTCCAGTCCCAGGAGGTATGGAGCAGGAGAGCTTGAGATGTCATCATGTTACTTAAAATAGCTTGCAATTTAAAACTTATGAATTGTTTATTTCTGGAGTTTTCTTTTTCTTATTCTTTCCTTTTTTTTGAGACAGAGTCTCATTCTGCTTACTCTGTCACCCAGGCTGGAGTACAGTGGCACAATCTCAGATTACTGCAACCTCCGCCTTACAGATTCAAGCGATTCTCCTGCCTCAGCCTCCTGAGTAGCTAGGACTACAGGTGAGTGCCACCACGCCCAGCTAATTTTTGTACTTTTAGTAGAGATGGGGTTTCACTGTGTTGGCCAGGATGGTCTTGATCTCTTGACCTTGTGATCCACCTGCCTCAGCCTCCCAAAGTGCTGGGATTACAGGTGTGGCACCACCATGCCTGGCCTGGAGTTTTCAGTATCATCTTTTAGGATTGTGGTTGACTGTGGGTAACTGAAACTATGGCAAGCAAAACTGAGTATAGCAGAAACTACTGTATATCTAAACTCAACTTTTTCTTTTCACTCAGCTCCTCTTCAACGTGTAAGTACTCACTGACTTTAACATGATTTATTTTGAGAACAGGTCAAGGTTGAATTTACTTTCTTTAGCAATGACCATCCTTACCGCCCCTGACCCATGGTTACTCAACTATTTATAGTGAAGAAGGTTTTGACTTTAATTTAAATTACAAAGAGAAGTTGTAGACTCGCCTTCTCATATGCATGGTCCTAGAGAGATCGGAACAATCTGCAAGTAATTGGGGATCCTCAAGAGTAGACTGGCCAATATCCAGGTAGCAAACAGGTAAGTTATGGAAACAGGTTTATTGACTTTGCTCTTCTTACTTTGAGATTATTATCTACAGAAGCGGTCTTGCAATGGGTTGTTATTTTTTCATGTAATAGGCTTCTTTAGATAAATGAATGCTGGAGTAGAGAGTAATAAATAGATTATACAAAATCGCAGAATTGTTTCTCTTGCAAACATGGAGAAACTTGCGGACTTTTTAGGACTCCCGTTGTAGTGTTCAATCAGATATTTCCTTAATGCCCGTGACAATCCTGTGGTTCTAGGAAGCCACTGACTACTTACACATAAGGCTTCCAAAAATATCTCATTAAAATCTCACGGAGCCCTAACAAGTGAGAATGTGAAGCCTATTTTAGAAAGAAGGAAATGGAGGCATAGAGTGGTTGGCAACATGCCCAAGGGCAGAGAGCTGAGTAGCAGAACTGAGACTCGAGACTGAGTCTTGACTCCAAAGCTCATGTGCTTTCCACTGCTCTGGCATCAAGAGTTTGGAGACACTGAGTGAAGGGAGATTGGGTGCTGAGGGTAAGTGAAAAGAGGCCTGTGCAGACAGTCAGCCTTTACCTAGGTGTACATTTTTTCCTTGTTATTAGGTAGGTCTACTCTCCAAAGCCAGATTGGCAATTGAGAGGCTGCTCTTTGGATCTGGAACCAAGGCAGTCACTAGTGATGCAGGACAGCTGAATTTGAATGGTGTGTTGAAAAATGCTCACACTGGGGGTTCACTGCAATCTGCACTCTCCCCCCTGCTCTCTGGCATCAGTCTGTGGGCCTCAGGCAAGCCTCTGATCTCTTGATCCTCAGTTTCCTTATCTGTCAAAGGAAGGCAGTAAACTAGACAATCTGTAAAGAGCCTTCCTTCTGTGATATTCGGTGTTGCTGATAGAGCCTCACTATGAAGAGTAAGAGATTCATCAATCCATTACAAATTGAATTGGTTGTTAAAAGTTCTCCCATCTTATTTTGGTTTCAGAAATATGTAACACTGTACTGTTTTGGTAATATTTTCTTCCTCTCAGGGTAGATATAGTATATGATGAAAATTAAAAGAAGCCTGTGAATAGAAGTGAGAAGAGTTGGGACAGTGAATCAGGTGGCAGAATATCTGGAAGCTTCTTTCAGACACAGATGGTCGGCATAAACTGTTGTGGCGGGGAATTTGTGCCAGACATCCCATGGAGTTTATTACTAAATGTGGGATCAGTAAACTTTTAAAAACATACTGTGCATGTAAAATCATTTAACATACTGCAAGTGCAAAATCTTTTTGTTTCAGCAATACCTAATCCTTCCTTTCTGCTTTATAAATAATTTAAATTAAAATCTCAGCTTTGGTGTTGAACAGTTTTATTTTTACAATATCGTTGAATGACTGGGAAAAGTGACAGTTCTGATTGTTTGGTAACCCCTGGTTCTATGATATGCTTCACATAACCTCCAAAAAAATGTTTAAGACAGAAATACTGTAAAGGACATTTAAGTATACAATTAATGTGAAACACTGGAATAAAATGAAAGGATATTATGCCACAGTGTGTGGTCTGAGTAAAAAGCATTAAGGTTGAACCAGCTGCTAAACTCTGCACTAAAGCAAAACAGTTAATTTTATAATGTAGCAAACAACCGTAATTAGAGAATGGTTTTATCTTTAAAATGTAACCCTGTGTAGTAAAATCAGAAAGCCTTGCAGGTGGAAGCTGGGATTTTTGTGGAACATTCAAATATTTCAATGTAAGAAATCCCAGCTGCAGAAATTTGTAATTGAATATATGCTCTTTCCTCTGCATAGAATAGATAATATTTTACAATTTACAGATATTTTCACATATATTGTCAAACTTGATCATTGTACCCCAAAAGGTATGTGGAAGATATTACTGCATTAACAGCTTCACTTTAGAGATGAAAAATTGGGCTTCAGGCTAATGACTTGCCCAAGTTAAAATAACTAGTAAGCAACATAGCCTGTGCTCAAACTGAGTTTCTGCTGGAGAATCTCTCTCATCAGCTGTAGATAAAAGCTTCATGGAAGAATATTTAGTAGTACTCATTTTGTCCTGAAATGAGTTGTAGACACTGGTACAATTTCTGGTTTGATCTTCAGGCAAAAATATTTACATTTGAATCCCCAAGTTCATTCTTACCTAAGTAAGTAGTCCCCGAATTGATATGATTACATCTATTTTTCTGGAGAAATTGAATTTGGGTTTTTAGAACCAAATAACATTTGCCAAAAATCTGCTCTGAGTCAATGTTAGTTTTTAAACTCTAAATATGTTGAAGCCAAAGGACATTGGCTACCTTCTTTATTCGGTATGGCTAACAGAGCTTTGTAAACTTTATATGTAAACATATGTAAATAAATATGTACAGAAAAATAAACTAATGGAGTATAGAATGTTGGAAAACATTATTAGATTAGTGAGCCCAATCTCCTTCTCATGGCATGAATATAATTCTTACATCTTTGGCAGGTATTTATCTAGTTCATTGCTTTAAAAGGCAATCCATCATTTAGAGGATAGCAATATTCATTACAGACTTCTTTCTCAAAATGAATCCAACACTGCTTCTTGTCAACTTCCTTTAAACTGGTACTAGTTCCACCTGCTAGAGACCCTCAGGATTAGTCTAAGTTCTCAGGAAAGCTTTTTTTGTTTGGTTCCTTTTTCTCTAGACCCCATTAAGTTATTATTTATGACATGGTTTCTAGACCTTTCTACTTTCTAGTCCTCATTCCTTGGAAGTGTTTGTCAATGCATCCCTTAAATGCAGTATCTAGAGTTGAACAGAATAATCTAGACGTAATGATATTGAGTAGTGATATGACCAATGCTCTTGTTTTGGACACAACAATTATATTCATTCTGCTTATGTGTTAGTGTCCTGCCAGAAGTTTGACAGATAGCTGGCTGAGCATGGCGGCGCATGCCTGTCATCCCAGCACTTTGGGAGGCCAAGGTGGGTGGATCACTTGAGGTCAGGAGTTTGAGACCAGCCCGACCAACATGGCGAAACCTCATCTCTACTAAAAATACAAAAATTAGCCAGGTGCAGTGGTAGGCACCTGTAATACCAGGTACTTGGAAGGC